TTATGAAAAAAAAAATTATGAAAATGATCATGAAAGAGTTATGATCTTTAGATTACCTTAATTAATGTGTTGTATTTTATTCTAACTGTAATTTAAGAATTACAAAATTTTCATAATTATTTTTATAAAAAAATTTTCATCATACTTAACATTATTATTTTTTTATTATATAAACTCATTCAAAATTAAAGGGCTGTGCATTGGCAAGGTTTTATCACAGGTGCAAATGAAAAAATCATGATCAATAACGAAAATTAATGCGCATGACATGAGTCCGACTACCCACATTTGCGTCATCATAGTTTTACACTTTTCTCTAAATTCTTTTTTATCTATTTATGTTTTAGAGTAATATAAAAACACATAAATTTACTCATATTACAAATTATTCTTTATAGTTTTAAAAATTACTTCATATTTCTTAAAAATTTTAATCTCATAATAAATAAATCCGTTTATTAATAATTCATCAAGTTAATTAATAATTTTTAATAATATTAAAATTTTATTTCAATTAATAATTCAGATAATATTATTATTATATAGGTCAACAATTAAAATTTTCACTTTTTTAATTAATTTTGTTAAATAAAAAATTTTGACAGGAAGGTATTTGTAATTTTTCAAATCACAGGGAACAATTCGTATTTTAAATAAACCTCAGAGGGTGTATTTATAATTTACCCTATGTTTTATTTAATTCATATTATTTTATTATATTTTAATAAATCTTATGAGTGACATAATTACTAAAATATTCCTAACAATATTCATATTTACAGTGTGAACGTTCTGTGATGTGAATGTTCACACCATCAATGTGAATGTTAATACTCCCTCCGTCCCAAAATATTAGTCCCTTATTCCATTTTTCATTGTCCCAAAATATTAGTCCCTCTTTATAAATCAAGTACAAAAATAATGTAAATTTCCTATTTTGCCCTTCTTTTAAATTAATAAACAATTTAAAAAGTACAATTATGACATTGATATTCTCAAAAAATGTACTATCAAAAGGGTAATTTTGGAAAACCAACTTTTTTCAAATGCAATAAGTGTACTACAAAAAAAAGTTGGATTCCCCAAAAGGGACCAATATTTTGGGACGGAGGGAGTATATAGCATTCACACGTCAATGTGAATATTCATATTACCAAATTGTTAACTGTTCAAAAAATATTTATAAGGATAAAAATGTCCATAAAATAGTTTAAATATGAGAATTAGGATTTGGTAAATCAAATGTTCAAATAATAAGATTTATTGAAATATATTAATAGCCAATAGACTAATTGGGATATAAATACTTGAAAAATGAATTTCTAATAAATCTCCCTAATTTTATTCTTTCAAATAATACATAAATTTTATATAAAATAAAATAAAATTACTTATAAATGTGACACTTATCAATACGATTAATGTAAAATAAATTTTAGGGAGGTTTTTTGATAATCTCATTTTTAAGAGTTTTATTCTATCAAATCCATATAGTTTTTGACTATTTCATTAAGTTCTATTTGAGGTAAAAAGACCAAAACACCCTAAATCTCTCATGCCTCCATTAATGTTGATATTTAATGTTGATTGTCATTATATCTTCACTCTAAAAAAATGCATTAACTACACACCACTATTTAATGTTGATATATATTACATACAAAAAATTAAACATGATTTTTTATTGATGACGTGAATGTGAATGTTCACATCAGATGACGTTGTAATAAATGTGATACTAAGGTTCACATGAGCATTGAATCAAATTACACAACTACAAACCTTAACTTGAATGAATTTTTTATTGTCTTGTCAATTACATGATGTTAATATTTATATTAAAACATACGAATGTGAACGCTCATATTATTACATGTTGTGAATAAGAATATATTGTCAATTAAAAATATAATGAACATTATTTTTAATGTGTTATCAGTTAAAATAAGAAGGTTCACATGTTGTGAACGTTCACATCACTACATTAAATGAAAGAGGATTTTTTAGAAAAGTGTTGTGAGCGTTTACATCAAATGAGAGATAATGTTCACATTATTTTTAATGTACAGTCAATTAAAAATATATTCACATCAAATGAGAGAGAATGTTCACATTATTTTAATGTGTTGTCAATTCAAAATATATTCACCTTATATAATAATATAAAATAATAACATCAATGTTATTTAATTTATAAAATTTCCTATACCTTAGTCATTTCCCTTCTCTCTCTTCCTCCAACATTAAATATCAATATTAAATACAAGGATATAAGAATCTAACAAAATAGTATAAATAAAGAAAAAAGACTTTATAGAATAAAACTATAAATACATTGGATTAAGTGGATCAAAAAATTCCTTCATGAACTTCTTGAATTAAAACACTTCTAAATGACATTTATTAATAAAAATTTCTAAATTTTATTTTAAATTTAAATTTTCATTTATTAATATTATTAATTTTTTTTATTTATATACTTTTTAAATATAATAAAAATTATATATTTGTAATTCTTCACATACCTAATTCTCATTAATTCATTTCTTATATGTATATTGTCACTCACTTTCATTAGTATTGCCAATCTTTATGGGTGGAGAATCATCCACCTCCTATCTCATTCCGTCGCCCCACTATCCATTATCATTCTTCTCAACAAGGGTTATATGAAGATATATGATGAAATTAAATTTAACAAATTTATCAAAAAAATGTAAAAATTTAGGTTTCGTTTGGCAAGTTTAGAAAAAGTCAAAAAGTTACCAAAAAAGTTAAAAAATTATCACTATTCATCCCAAAAAAGTCTAAAAAAATTAATATACAAATATTAATACAAAACAACTTTTTGCCCATCAACTGTACTGACGTCAAACCCACTGCAAACAACCAAAGAAAAAAAAAAGTTACAGGTTTAAATTCACTACGTTAGATGGTAAAGTTGGCTCCGTAGGGGCCCACCATGGGCCCCGTTTTGATAATCCGAACCGTTCAATATGTAGAACTCGCCTAGTACTATATGGTTGTAAAAAATCACGTCTATCGGATATCGCTAACTACATAATCAAATCAGTTTTGTAAAAAAAGCTGAATGGTATTATAGTTAACCGTTGACAAAAAAAACTAACACGATTAGATAGCTATCGATATCCAATCAACGTGATTTTTTACAAGCATATAGTATTCGACGAGTTCTACACATTGAACGGTTCCGATTAGAAAAACGAGACCCGTGGTGGGCCCCCACGGGTCGAACAACACCATCTAATCAAAGGCCGAAAAGGAGGCAATCTTTTCCTATATATTCACCACGCCGACTGCACTGCAATCCGTATGGCATACTACCCTATCTTCTCCTACACACTTCTTTATATAATTTTTTAATACACATTTTTTCATAAAAAGTCAAAAAGTTAACTCAAACATCCATATTTTTTTTCTCAACTTTTTAGTCCAAAAAAATAAAAAGTGCACTTATTTAGGACACCCCAAACAACCCGGGGTTGTTTGGAGTGATCTAAATAAGTGCACTTTTTGACTTTTTATGAAATATGGGTTAGGTTTGGGTTGTGTTTGAAATGATATGTTAGAGAGATGATGTGACTTAAATAGATTAGTGAGTTTTTAACTTTTTTAAAACATGCCAAATCAACCCTTAATATATACTTTCAAGGTACATATTAAATTTTTTTAAAAACAATTTGTTAATAATTTTTTTTTAAAAAACATTAACAAGACCTAAAATGTTATAGAGATTAAAAGGTGATTTGAAATGATTTAAATAAGTGTATTTTTTGACTTTTTATGAAATATAGGTTGTGTATGAATTGGATTTGAAGTGATGTGTTAAAGAGGTGATATGACTTAAACATAATGATGCGACTTCGGCCTAGTTTGGCATCTCTAAAAAAATTCAAAAAGTAAAAAAGTTACTAAAAAAGTTAAAAAGTTATCATTATTCACAAATTAAAAATATAAAAAAAATAATTTATTACATATTTTAATACAAAGACGTGACTGGTACTGAGAATTGATGGAAAGTCTGTCAAAGGAAAAAAAAAATTAGGTATATATATTTATTAAATTAGAGGGTAATGTTGGGCCAGTGGGGGCCCACCACGGGTCCCGTTTTGATAATCCGAACCATTCAATATGTAGAACTCGTCGAGTATTATATGCCTGTAAAAAATCACGTTAATCTGATATGGAGAGCTATATGATTAAATCAGTTTTGTATAAACAATAGATGGTGTTATAGTTAATGGTTGACAAAAAACTAACACGATCAGATAGCTATCGATATCCGATTCACGTGATTTTTTACAATCATATAATACTCGACGAGTTCTACATATTAAACGATTCTGATTAGGAAAACGGGACCCATGGTGAGCCCGCATGGACCGAACAATACCGTCCAATTCAAGCCCAAAAAGGAGGCAACCATTTTCTACCTCCTAACATCCGACTACAGTGCCTAGGTACTGTAGGGGCTACTCAATCACTTCTCTTATACACTTATTTATATAATTTTTTAATATATATTTTTTCGTAAAAATTCAAAAAATTAACCTGAACATCCATTTTTTTCTCAATTTTTTAGTCTAAAAAAATAAAAAATATACTTATTTAGAACACTCCAAATAACTCTTTAAATAAGATAATGACTTTTTGATATTTTAATTTTTTTTTTAAATTCTGACAAATAAAGCCTAAGTAATTTTTTTGTTTAAATATGATGTGAATGTGATCCTTGACAGCTACTACACTAGTGTAAGAAAAGTTAGTTGGATTTATTACTTTATATTTGATTTTTTTATTTAAAAGAAATCTATGTAGCCGACCACGTACCAGATATCATTCCAACGGTTCAGATCTCTCCTCTTCAGCCAATCGGATGGTACCAAGCTGGTCCTTATAACCGCATACTTATCCGCAAACAACGGTCCAAAAGCGTCCACGTGTCGTAGTCGATCGCGTTCTTTATAACCATGATCCGACGGACCACCAATCACTCTCTCTGTCTCTCTCTCTCTCTCTCTCAGCACTCTCGTCTTCAACACGCTTCTAGCCGGCTCAGTGGACTCTCGCCGGCGATTCTAGAATCTTTCAAACCCTTGTTTCTCTGCAACTCGAAGCCCTTTCGAACCCTCATTCTCTGCAGTTTCAACAATTTACTTCACGTTCTCGCGGTTCTGCTGAGTGAAAAGAGTATAATTTGTGCTCGTTCTTCAATCTCTGCAACTCGAAGACCTTTCAAACCCTAATTCTCTGCAGTTTCGTCGAATTCCTACCGTTTGCGTCACGTTCTTGCGGCTCTGCTGAGTGAGAAGAGTCTAATCTGTGCTCGTAAACAACTTCTTCGAATTCTTGAATCTCTGCAAGTCGAAACCCTTTCAAAACCCTAATTCTTTGCAGTTTCTTCGGAGTGAAGACTAATCTGTGTCTTTAACCAACGTGTTCGTGTTTTTGAATCTCTGCAACTGATTTTATCTGCTGTTTGTTGGTGAATTTTCACCCCAAAAAAAAAAAAAAAAAATCAACTCTCACCGGAAAATTCATCGGCTTCGATCCATTGAATTGAAATATTAATATCTTCACACTACCGGACTGATACGGGTTTCAATTCCATCGAAATCGAACCACTACGTTCTATTCTACTTCTTGAAGTTGTTTCGTAATCGATCTGACCTCACTGTCACGTCCAATTCGAATACGAATTTGTTTGCGTAACAATTTACAGTTTTTTTTTTTTTTTTTCTTTCAGAAGAAGTTATATCTATATCCATGGCGGATTCAGATAACGAATCAGGAGGACACAACAACTCGAACAGCGAGCTATCACCGAGGGAACAAGACAGGTTCCTTCCGATCGCGAACGTGAGTCGAATCATGAAAAAGGCTTTACCAGCGAACGCCAAGATCTCCAAGGACGCCAAGGAAACAGTTCAAGAGTGCGTCTCAGAGTTCATCAGCTTCATCACCGGCGAAGCCTCCGACAAATGTCAGAGAGAGAAGCGGAAGACGATCAACGGCGACGATTTGCTCTGGGCCATGACGACGCTAGGGTTTGAAGAATACGTCGAGCCATTGAAGGTGTATTTGCTGAGGTTCAGAGATATGGAAGGAGAGAAGACTGCCATGGCCGGACGTCAAGGCGGCGATAGTGGCGGAGACGGCGGCGGCGGTGTTAGTGGCAGTGTGGTAAATTACGGTAACAGTGGGGTTGGATTTGGTGAGGGAGGGTTGTATGGAGGGATGGCTTCAAATGCGATGATGATGGGTCATCAGCATCATCAAGGACACGTGTACGGAGGATCGGGTGGTTATCATCATCAAATGGGTAGTGGTGGTGGGCATAAGATCGGATCGGGTTATCCCGGATCCGGGCGGGTGGTTATCATCATCAAATGGGTAGTGGTGGTGGGCATAAGATCGGATCGGGTTATCCCGGATCCGGGTCTTCTGATGGGAGATCTAGGTAGCTTCTCAAAATACCACTTTTTGGTATTTTTGAAAAGTTTTGAGAAAAAGAATGTTATATGATTTTTCATTTGCTTTTTATTTTTTTTCTGTTGAAATTTTGGATTAGAAAGAGAAAATAGTGGGGTAGGTTTGTTTGTCTAGGAAAAGTTTAAAGACGTGTGGGGTAGGGTAGGTTGTGATTGATTTTTTTGTGGGTTAAATATATTGAAAAATGCATAGTTGGATTGTGTTTATTTTTAACATATACATATTATAGTATACAACATGTTTTACAGTGGCAAAATTAGAAATTTTGTTTAATAGAGTTAAGGTATGTGCATAAAAAATAAAAAATAAAAATTAATTTTTATACCAATTGAAGATAAATTTGTTACATATTGTGAAATAAGCAGTTCATGAGGAGATAAATAAATAAATTTAATAATTTTATTTTTTTCATTTCTAAAATTTAAAAACTATTGGAATAATCGATTAAAGAAAATATGCACCCCTTTGATTTTTAAAAAGTAAAATAAGAAGTGATATTGACATGTTTGTATTAATAAAATTGACTCGATAAAATTGATATTATTAATTAACATTTGAAATACTTGAAAATAATCTCAGTGTACGTTGACATATACAAATAAAATAGAGGCAATTTTTATAGAATTTGAGGACCATACCCACTATGTGTTTTACAAATATTCATAGAAAATAGGGATATAATAAAAATTTTAAAGTCATGGTACATTTGATAAATACCAAATTAAATTAGTTTTTTATGTTAGTGAAAATTTTCGTCGGGTCTTTTGCTTCTCTTTTTTGGTCCGTTGTTGAAAATTTTATCTCAAACAATACCATTATAATATCATATATGAATTAAAAAATTTAAAAATATTAAAAAGAGATATTGAAATTCTTATCTATTCTAAGGTCAAGTTTAAAAACTTGTAAAAAAGTTAAAAAGTTACTCAAAAAGTTAAAAAGTTAACATTAATTACCAAAAGACAACAATTACGGCTGCACAACTTTCAATTTAAATTTTTTCCTACAAATTAATTTTTATAATTTTTTATTACATATTTTTAATAATTTTTTTTTTCATTTCTAAAATTTAAAAACTATTGGAATAATCGATTAAAGAAAATATGCACCCCTTTGATTTTTAAAAAATAAAATAAGAAGTGATATTGACATGTTTGTATTAATAAAATTGACTCGGTAAAATTGGTATTATTAATTAACATTTAAAATACTTGAAAATAATCTCAGTGTACGTTGAGATATACAAATAAAATAGAGGCAATTTTTATAGAATTTGAGGACCATACCCACTATGTGTTTTACAAATATTCATAGAAAATAGAGATATAATAAAAAAATTTAAGAACTTTTCTTAAGTGTGCAACTTACGCTATATACTTACGTCTTTCTGTTGCTGTCTTATTTTATGTTTACACCTTCCACTTACACTTTTTGTGTTGGTTGCATATGGTGTGCAACCTTAATTGCATATGGTGTGCAACCTTAAGGAGTTGCACACCATAACAGCACCCAAATTTTAAAGTCATGGTACATTTGATAAATACCAAATTAAGCTTCCGTTTAGAAAGTGAGTTGGTTTTTTGATTTTTTAGCTTTTTTGACTATTTTAGCCTTGGTTAAAAAATTTGGTTTGGGAAAGATTTTTTGACTTTTTAGTTTTTTTGACTTTTTTTGTGAGAGAAGAATGTAATGACTATGAGTTAGATGTAATGTTTTATTTTTGTGACTAAAATAGTCTATTTTATCTTTTGTGGCTAAAATAACCAAAAAAATCTAAAAAAACTCTTCCCAAACGGACCCGAAGTTAGTTTTTTATGTTAGTGAAAATTTTCAACGGGTCTTTTGCTTCTCTTTTTTGGTCCGTTGTTGAAAATTTTAGCTGAAACAGTACCATTATAATTGCATATATGAATTAAAAATTTTAAAAATATTAAAAAGAGAGATTGAAATTCTTATCTACTTACTATGTTGGGTTTATAAAAGAACAAAACAAAGTGTTTTATAATATAATTTTTTTAAAGAGTGTATTAAGCTCCTAATGATTAGGACTATCATAAAAATTGTCCTAATAATAATTAGATTAGTGTAGTAAGGCTGATTCTATTTGCTCCAAAAAAAAATTGTTTAGTACGCCCAATTTCTTATTATTTTTTATTTAATTATTTAATTTTATAATTTATTCTTAATACATTTTATATTTTTTTACTAAATTACATTTTATATAAAATAATAATTTATAGTACATCTAAATAATAAACAAATCAATTAAAAAAAAATACTTCCTCTTTCTCCTCTCTCCTCAACGTTGGGTATCTCTCTCCCATCTCCTCTCTCTCTTTATATATATGTATATCATATATGGATCTTGGTTAGGTCTCATAAACTAACTTTGTGAAGTAAGGTTTGTTTTTCATTAAAAACTGTGCGTTCGCTCTCTACAATTGGGAACTTTTTTCTCTCTGAGATTTTTGTGAGTTTTTTTTTTTCTTATTCTAATAATGATTCTAATGGTTTTATGGGTTCTAGAATAATATTTTGTAAAGTGAGTTTCATAATGTGAGATTGACACGATTTACTTTTTTTAAAAATCTCATCATAAAGATCAAAGAATGATTGATAAGGTTGTTTTATGCCAAAACTTCACTACCTCCTCCTCCTCTTAGACTTTCCTTTCAAGATCTAAGGTTCTTTTTTTGTTTAATAATAGTGGTAAATTTTAATGGAATGGAGTAAAATTTTGATAAAAGGAAGAAGATAAAGTGAAGATAATGAAATTTTGAAAAAGAAGATGAAAAAATTTAATATGAAAAATATGTATAAATGATTAAAATTTATCAAGGAAAAGAAAAATTATTTTAAAATTTAATGTGAACTATTTTTATTAATAAATTTATATTAGAGTATGATATTAATTAAAATTTTAAAATTTTTATTGGCCGTACTAAATTATTATTTATTTAAGTGTAAATAGAATCCCCCGTGTAGTAAGTGAGTGCTCCACTACACTAAGTGGGACAATTTGTCTTTAGCAATGGAAGATTTGGATCATAACATGACATTTCACATTTGTAGTCTTGTCTTGCCCATTAGCTTCATGTTCTGTATTAAAATCAATTTTTTAACTCATAAAAATTTAGTGATGTAAATAGAAAACAATTTTTTATTTTTGTAGAAAACAAAACCAAAAAACTTATTTGGGGCACAATTTTTTTTTAAAAAACAAATAAAAACAAAACTGAAGAAATATGTTTAGTGAGTTGTGACCGACAGTGGAGTGGTGACCGACAAATGAAAAACTGGAACAAAACAAACATGTACTCCAAAACAAGATTGTATTGTTTTCAAAAGAATTCAACTTTTTTTTAAAACAAAACACACACACCAAATCAAGTTCTCACTTTCAATTTCTACAAAAAAATATGGAAAAAAAAATATTTGCAACCCAGATCAGCAAACCTTCTGTAAAGCAATATACCAGAATGACAGTGCTTTTTCACAAAAAACCGGGCCATTAGTCGGCTAATCAACAAACCAAAACACAACTATTCCAAGTTAGAATTGACCGAATATAACATGAATCCGTAACAAAAACTAACTCCAACAAGATCACAATATCCATCTCTAATTGTCAACAAAAAAAGTCAGTTAAGTTAAAACATAGAAGAATTCCTACAAATTTTCGTTTGTGTACATAATAACTGCAATCGTGCAGCATAACTCGAGCAGTTCTAAACCTAACAATTTCTGGAAAATCATAAGTTTTTGACTCAAAGTTAATAAACTTATAACAATAAATTACAGACTGCTATTTTTAGAGACAGACAAAACAACACATTGAGAAACGACAGATTGTTAAATTTGAAAAAAAGGGTTGTGAAGCTAAAGAAAAACTATTCCATTTTAATCTAATTTATGTTTTACCTTGGCGTTCAAGCCTCAACACCTTGACCGGAAGGTTGGGTCTTATCTTTCTCGGTATCACCTTCATCTTCTTCATCATCTGCCTCATCAGCTAGTTTGGTAAGTTCTTCTTGGATCATGAACTTTATCGAAGCCTTTCGGGGCGTAAGATCCATTTTAAAGCGCCCAGCTGTGCATTGGCAAGGTTTTATCACAGGTGCAAATGAAAAAATCATGATCAATAACGAAAATATATACAAGGCTCTATATTTCAACAAGATTTCACCATATTCACTAATTTTAAATGACTTGTATTTTGATGAAATTAAGCAGATAACTAGCAGTGCACCCGAGCAATGCTTTTGAGAAAGAAAGTAGTAAAATACCATATAAACCTAGAAGGAAAAAATATAATTGTAGGAATAATGATTGAATAGTAGCAGCTTACATTTAAAGAGTAATTGTGAATATTTAGGCCTCGTTTGGCAAGAGGCTATTTTAGCCAATTAGTCAAAAAGTTACTAAATTAGCCAAAAGCTAACAACCCATACCAAAAAGTCAAAGATTCTCTTTTCTCTCTACTTTTTGCACATCTTTTCGTAATTAGCCAAAAAGTCATCCCAAACATACAAGTTTTTTTTACCTACCTTTTTAGCCAAATAGCTAAAAAGTTACTAAGGCCCCGTTTGGGAACTTAGTTTTTTAGCCAATTAGCCAAAAAGTTACTAAATTAGTCAAAAAGCCAACAACTTATACCAAAAAGTCAAAAATTCTCTTTTTTCTCTACTTTTTGCACATCTTTTCGTAATTAGCCAAAAAGTTATCCCAAACATACAAGTTTTTTTTACCTACCTTTTTAGCTAAATAGCCAAAAAGTTACTAAATTAGCCTGTTCCCAAACGAGGCCTAAATTAGCATGTTCCCAAACGAGGCTTTAGTCTGCTTTCCCATTTGTTTTTCAATTAAAGATCTCTAGAAATTGAAAGGACAAAAATATTTTAAAATGATATAAAGTATGCTGTGACATATATAATTTGAAGAGAAAAAAACATATGTACGATAATTTTATATGACATTAAAATTTATAACATAGAAAATAGAACACTTCAGTTAGGTTGCAAAAATCAATTACATAGGCGATAGTAGAAGCAACTTGAATGCCATCTAAACTTTCAAGCACAAACTACTAAATCTAATGCAATAGAACACATTTTAATAAAAATATTATTAGATATGAAATCTCAACTAAACAAAGCATCATACTTTGATTTATGCAAAAAATAAAAATGAAGAGGGCATACCGAGTTGTTTCAGAATGTCAGTGAAGGTAGCCTGCACAACACAGCAAGGAAGATACAACTCGTGTTACCACATTACAAAATCATCAAACATTGAATAAAATAAGCTAATTTGTACTCGGTAAAAGCTGACTTTGCTCAGCTCAGCACAATAAGAAAAATAAGTAGATTTTGGCAAGCACAAAAACAAACAATTAACATGAAAATAGTTGACATTCTTCACGAAGAAAATGTCATTTTGACAGCAAAGGTTTCCTAGGAGGAAAAGAATCTATGAATCAACCACCACAACCACATCTGGAAGTTTCCAATCTTCAATTAGCTATTCTATTCCTTCATGCTAATCAAGTGTAACAAAAAGGGGTGGACGAGTTTATGGGGAAAAAATTTCCTGGCAATGCAGCTCATCCCCAGTATTGCACAAGGACGTGATTGTAGAAATGATAACCCTTTTAGACTTCTTTAAAGAAGACTTCGTCGTCCTATTATTCAGATGTCGTTTTCTGTTGTGTATAGACTAGCTCAACATTATGTGCATGTTTTATTATATGGTAGTCCAGCTACTCCAACAAACAACAAAGGCGGAGACTATTTGGTTTCTAAGAAATTACTTCACAACTATTATAGAGAGATCAAATTCTTACCGTGTTGAAGTCAACTTCCTTAAGAATTTCGCATATTGCCTTTCTGAGTTCATCATCACTTGGCCTTAATTTCACTTCTTTAGGTTTGTCTTTCCCTTTCGCGACCTTTTTACCTTCACAAAAACAGACAAAACCTTCAGAAAGTTAATTCAGCTGAAAAAAAATCTTGCCCAGATCTCTATTTTTTGCACTTTTTCATAGAATGAAAAAATCAAGTATAAGACGATTTCTCAAAAATAATTGTCGACATTGAGGGAATCCCTATGAAAATCTTCAAAATGTAAACCACAACACTAGCGCTGGAAATTCTTACAAGCAGAACAAATGTACACAGCTTGTGCAAGGAAAGAAACATAAAATAATGATACTGACCAGTTTGCTCCATGGAAGCAGGTTTCTTTGGAGCTGTGGACTTTTCCTTAACAACCTCAGTTCTTTTCTTCCTTGAGAATGTCTTTGGACTATCACTGCTATCATCAACCTTAGAACGATTTGATGATGATTTCAAAGGTGTTCTTTTTGTGGGTGGAGTAGATTTCAAAGGTGTTTTTTTGGTGGGTGGAGTAGATTTCTTCAGAGTAGCAACTTTCTTGGTTTTTGTCTTTCCTGAAGATTTCTTCTTTGCAGATGAATTTTTTGAACCTCGTTTGTATTTACCTGTGTCTTCTTCAGACTCTTCTTCAGACTCATCTTTATTCTCTTCAGGTACATCACTTTCAGAGCTTTCAGGAACACCATTCACAGTTTCCTCTTCTTCATGTTCCTCCTCTTCCTCTTCTTCTTTATCTAACTCGTCTTCTGTTTCCAGCATATTCTCCGTCTCTTTAGATGCATTCTCAATCCTTTTTCGACTCTGCAAAATACACCAAAGATAGAGGAATGACAACAAAAGAGATGAAGCAAGTTGCACCCAAAAAAAAAAAGGTCAAACTATGATACAAAATTGCATACCTCAATCTTTTTTTTAATGAGTTTGTTTTGTTTTATTTTGCCTTTCTCAATTTCAAGGAGAAAGATTCCTAAAAAATATATATGATTTGCTTCCAGAAAGATCCATAAATGCTGCTAAAAGGTGTGGCGCACAAAAAGAAACCAGAAAAGCAGAAGATGCAAGTCGTCATCATCAATTTCATGATTACGTAGCCCCCAGATAATAGCAGCACCCAGCTTGCTCTATTGTTTCAAACAGTCCAACATGGACAGAAAATTAGAGAACCAAAATAATGCAATGACATAAATTTTCAGGGAACCATACAACAATTGCGAATCGTTTAATGGGCATTTTCCACAACTGCAATTCACCAAATTCATAGACCATCAGATCGCAAACTAAACCCCATGTCCTTATTGATACCCAACCTTAACAAGAGGTGAACACGTAAAACAAGAACCCACATCCTTCAACTATTATAACACTAATTATACAGATCTACTTGTATTGTCAGCAAGAAAACAATGGTACCTTAGCTGACCGTTTTGATGGCGTGCTGCCAGACGTTGATGCGCTTCGTTTGACTTCCCTCTTACGTTTTTTTCCCTTACTTGACTGGTGTACAGACAAGAATAGATAATATAAGAATCAAAGGAAAAATAGCAGTTATCTTAGTGAAGAGGAGCATTTGATGAACTTTGTTGCACAACGTAAACCAACCTGCTCTTTTTCAGCAAGTAACTCGGTAGTCAATGCATGAGGGGCCACCAAGAAGTCTATCAACTTTGCAACAATATCTTCCTGTGTGCACAATTAAACTCATCATGATAACAACAAAAGACATACTCACCTTTAAGCAAATCTAGTTTGCATTATGACTCAGACTACAACCAATCAGTCTACTACTAAAAGAATTAGATTTAAGTTTTTCTACTTGATGATGTACCATGCAGAGTGAGTCAAACTATTAAACTAGCAGGTTCTTTCATTGAATATGCCTAGTCTGAGCATGCAGTGCTTGTGAACGGGTGGGTGTCTGTTGACAATCTACCCTGCCAATATGCATTAATTTCAGAATGTTAAGCATCCAACAACATGTGACCAATAATTCAATGATATTTTCCTGTTGGGAGAACAATTCAAAAAAACTATCCATGCAGTACATGCAGCAGTAAGATATCAACGAACCTTCCTCGTATTAGCTTTGGTAACTGGCATGTCAAGCACATCACAGAATTCCAACAACTTCTCTTTAATGCATTTGTCAAGTTTTTCTTTTACTTTTATCTTTTGTTTTTCCTGCAATGATTGCAAGAGTCAGAAACCAAAAGCTCAATGGTTTATTTATTTTAGTAATAAAATGAGGTTTCCAAACATCTAAGTGGTGAAAAAATAATATAAATGTCCTGGATAAGAAAGAAAACAAACACATTTTATTATGGACAAAGCACTTGAATATCTCTCTAAGATGGACTCTTTACCTCATTGTCATTCCACACAAAACCAGAAAACCGAGAAATATTACTTTTGACCTGAGCTGCCTGCATAAGGTCAAGAAACACAGTAAGATCGGAGCACATTTTATTCTTCACCAAATGGAAAACACACAGAGGCCTATTCAACAAAAGAAGATAACTGGACCAAGACCAACTACTGCATCGCACATGGTTGGCAAAAGTCGATGAAAGCAACCTAAGAAAAAACTTGTAGTTGTAGGGAATTAGCAAAAGATGCCAAGAGTCTCTATGCTTTCTTTCTATCTTTCTTTCTTCTTTTTTTCGTTTGTTGTGGCTGGGTTCTACATTAATGTCAAGTTCCAGCTAACTTCACTTTAAACGAATCCCTTAATTAATTAAAAAAATGAAGCTATCAGGGTTGATATTCCAACTGATAAATTCCAAAATTTATATATCCAGTAATGAAGGGTGATTGAGCAAAGAGTTGGGATTCATAAGAATTAATGTTGATTTATGTTTATATGGCAGGAATACCATGAGCCCATGACTTAAACTAGCGACAATATGATGCTCTACCAACTACAGGTAAATCCATAGAATGGCCAAAGCAAGAAGGCCACTCCATGAGAAAAGATATGACACTATGAATACACCTATTTTGGTCATGTCAAACAATGCTTCAATAAATAAATATTGGTTACAATACTTACAGAGGAAGGCAAGGTTCAGAACTTCATCAAGGGACCTTGTATTATTGAGAAATGCTATTTATCACCGGTTTTGTTTCACTACTGTGTTTCTCCTCTTAGGTGTATTGAATATTGATTCATTAAAAGCCATGTGTATATATCATGCTACATTGGGAACCACATAGGAAGTGAAAAGTTCTGATAAACTAATTTGGTGATATATAGCAGCCCTCTTCCATAAGAGTTATTAAAGGTGCAAGATTTACTGAAAGCCCGTCACGCAATTTAAGCTCCTAGAACTACTCCAAGCAGAAGGTGAATATTCTATAAGGGAATGGAGTCCAGTTGCATGAGAGAAGCTTGCCTCCAGAATGAGAGAGAATCTGAATGGCTTTAAGGCAGTGTTTACATGTGTGGCTACAACCAACCAGAGGGTTGGCAAAAGGGGGAGAGAGTAAATTACAATTTTAGAATGAAAGATTAACATACAAATTACCTTTCCTCTCCTTCCAAAGAGAATCGTATGAAGCAATTTTAAAGTGTCATCAGTCTTCCTTTTTGATAATTTGTATGACACTGAAACAGAAACCATGGTTCAGAAAATGACACAGTTCATTTTTGAGTTGCAATAAACAGATATCACATACAATACGAAAATGTAAAATAAGCAATAACAATACGATTCTAACAACTTGTCCAGTATACACATAGCATATAAAAATATGACAAGAAACAAATTTCCAGACACAGTTTGTGAGACACAAAGATAATACACTGAACTTAAAATATATGAAAATAATATATAATAAAATAAAAACTTGAACATACCTCATCTCAAGACAAAACGACTATTGTCAAGAAACTTCAAGCAACAAGTATACATCATTATAACGAGTTTTGCTATATGACAATCACAACAATCATGAAAACAGTAACTATGAACAAGTCATGCTAATGTAATGTCCTAGTCTTGCCGTTTCAAGCAAATTTTTTCGTTAGATAATACATTTTATTTGCCTATCAAAAAAATAAATGAAGGAAAGTAGAGAGAATAAAAAAGTTAGGCAACATACCATTAGGTATGTCTTTCAGTGCGACACCGCTGCCCTGCAATTCCAAGGCAAACTGTGAACTAAATATTGACCAAAACTGTCACAACTGAACTTTATTCTAAAAACATCAACTGCAAACCGAAAGATAGAAGGAAACCTTTTCAATATGGAATTCCTTGACAGTTTCTATTTCGAAAGATGCAACCAGCCTTTCTACAGATTTCCGTTCCCGTACGGGGCGATCAAGTGCAGAACTAATGGGGGTTTTCCACTCCTTTTTCCCTTCCACCTCCTTTTTATTGCTGTTGATTTTTACTGCAGAGGTCTTCCCTTTTCCACGCCTCTTTGACGCTTTCTGTGGTGTACTTTCTTCATCCTTTTCTTCTTCCTCTATTAATTCATCCTTCTTCTCTGGTTTACTCGCTTCATCCTTTTCTTCTTCCTCCTTTAATTCATCCACCTTCTCTGGTTTACAGTCTTCATCATTTTCTTCTTCCTCCTTTAATTCATCCACCTTCTCCACAACCTTTTCCTCACCCTCCTCAGCTTCTTTTGCCTCCATTTCATCATCCATTGCCTCACTTCTGGTATCTACCTTTTTTTCCTCTTCCTCTTCCTCTTCTTTACTTCCCTTTTTGGCAATTTTCTCTTCTTCTTTGGTTTTCTTGGCCTCTTGGTCGACATCCATTTCCTCTGTCTCAACTTTCTCATCATCTTTACCATCTTCTTCCATTTCTTTTACTCCATCCTTTTCCAGCTCTTTTTTCTGAGGAACATCTTCACCCTTATTCTCAGGTGTGGTAGTCCCATTTTCCTCTGCCTCAACTGCAACCACTGCCTCTTCTTCGCCCATAGTTGATCAAATTCAAAATAACACCCAACCCAAATTACTCTCTTTGCTGACCCAACAAGCCTGTCAAGCTTAGGCCATCAACAAACTCTGCAAAAAAGTTCTCATCTTTTAAGTTTTAAAATAAAAATTAAAATCCCAGACAAGAAAATATCAAAACAAAAATCAAACAAAAAATGGATTTCCAATAGCAGGAACAAACATGTGTGCGCTTATATGCATGGGAGCAGCTCCCTCAAGACTCCATCATTTTCATATCCCTTGAGACTCCACTTCGTGAGCCCCACGGGACCCATGACAGTAATCCGAAACCACTCATTTCATAGGCCTCGAAGAGAATAATATATATATATATATGCAAAAAATAGTTTGATCCGATAACAATAGATACATTAATTAATCATGTTTTATTTAATTAGGTTTTGTTTTATGAAATCAACGATAAATATGATTTTAAACTAAAATCCTATTTTATAAAACAATAAATTAGTATATCTATCAATGTCTAATCAAAACTATTTTTTTGCACATATATTTTTATTTTCAAGGTCTACTAGATGACCTGTTCGGATCAGCATCGTCGGCCCATAAGACCCCCACTTTGTGGTATGGAGATGATGGAGTCTTGAGAGGAGTTACTCCCTATATGCATTGTACATTAAAAAAAATAACAATCTAAACTCTTTTCAAATGGAATTTTTTTTACATAAAATAAAATTTTAAAAATTCAAAACTTTTGTTTACAGGACAGAACATAAACAGAAAAATCGGCAAGCCCTAACAAGATCGGAACTATCCTGACATAATCAGAAACTACGAAATTTACAGAAATTCATAAATAAAACAAGCAGAAAGTAACAAGACAGTCGAAGAACATGGAATATTTGAGGAAAATATAAAAACCCTAGGCTGCAAAAAAATGTAATCTTTACCTCAAAATCAAATGAACAAAGAAAAAAAATCACAGATAAAAATAAAAAACAGAAATTGCGAGGTGAATGAGATATACGAGTTGAATATTTGAGACTTACAGAGATTTCGAGCCACGCTGTTCGCTCATTCGAAGCTCTCGCAATTGAACTCTCACGAGTTCTCTATCTCTCTCTCTTGTTTCAACGATTTCACAATTCGAACCTCTGAGTGGGGACACTTTTCTGAGCGGAGTATTTATAGTCCGGACTTCAAATCCGGATTTTAAAACCAGTTAAATGCCAGGTAGGACGAGAGTGTCAGAAATCAGGTAACAGGAACTGAAGCAAACGGCTCAGATCTGTTCATTCACGGAATCTGGAAATTGACGGTGGAGATGTGATATTCGTTCGGATTTGAGTGTTACCCCATAGATAACTTCACTGGATTTGGTAACACGAATAAGAATTTATTTTTTTATTTTTTTAATCCACATTATTTATTTAGCTTTTATATATATTTTTTTAAAATTTAAAAAAATTAATAGGATTGGGAGAAAGAAAAGGTTGTGTTTGGAAATTTATTTTTAAATATTTTAGTAAATCATAATTTTTTAATTTTTTTTAATAAAAAATTAAAAAAATAATTTGACTTTTAAGATAGCACTCGGGTTTTTTTATTTGTCTCGAAACAAACTAGTTATATGATTTCTTGAATAGGATTATATATGCAAAGGTTTATTTGTTTATACTGCAATAAAATATGAGATAATTTGGATGATTACTATTTGTTATTAAGTGGAAATGGATAGTAATTGAAGTGGGTAAAAATTAATCAAGTCTTGGTGCTAGACCCAATGCGATACTCACTCCAAGGTGGAGCTAGGTCGGACCTCAGCCCTATGGCCAACACTTGCTCCGAAGCAAGACAATCATAGGAGTTCGGCCCAATGTACGAGCATCACTCAAAAGTGGGCCGGGCAACATGGTGGACCTTCCGGATGGACAGAACCACTCCGAAGTGGGTTGAGCAACATATTGGACCTCCTGGTTGGACAACCATTCTAAAGCAGACCAACTTAGAGAAGGCCAATTCATTAAAGATCTTTCTTGGGCCCATAAGAGACAAACAACCCTGCTCCTCCCCCTCTGTATGAACAGAACGTGGAGACATGGAGGCGCAGAGGGACAAGGTGCATATATGACAGACCTGCATCTGAATGGCAGGCGGAGTGGTCGTCCTCCTCCAATGAGAGATGTCCGCTAATGAGACAAACAAAACAGACCTGCACCTGAGTGTCAGGCGGAGTGGTCGTCCTCCTCCAATAGGAGACGACCACGAATGAGACACATTGGACAGATGGCGGAGAGAGAAGGACTTGAACGACAAACAACCTTCTCCTATAAAAGGTGAACACTATTCACTCTGAGGGGATCCGAAATCCACACACTTAACACATATACACTCTTTGTATTCTCTTCTCTCTCTTTTTCCTCTCCCTGAGTCCCTGACTTTACCATCGGAGGGGTTTCCGACCAAACCCCGGTCGGGTAGCCTCACCGTTTGTTATTCTGTGCAGATCTTCAATTCCCAAAGCCTGCTGTTCATCCACGAAGTTCAACCCTTCTTCATAGTGCGGAAATCACCCCCGCACAGTAATCATATAAGGATAAGAAGTTTGGCTCTAGACTGCTTGGTTTGGCATAATTTGTAAAAATTAAAAAGTTATTAAAAAAAAGTCAAAATCTTCATATTATTTGGGAAAGTTTGTGAGGGGAAACGTAGAGGACAAAATTATTATTTTGTCTTTTAAATTCAACTACTTAAAAATCAAAAAGTTAAAAGTCAAAATGTCAATAAAGACAAAATGATCATTTTGATTTTATTATAATATTTTATTACACATATTTTCATAAAAAATCAAAAAGTTATTTCAAACGTACATATTTATTAATTTGACTTTTTACTATGAGCGAAATAAAATATGGAAAAGAATAGGCTTTTGTTTTCTACAATGTAACTAATGCCATATAAATCTTAATTTATTAATTTCACCATTTTGTATAAAGAATAACCAGCAATATGCCAACACTTAAATCCAACCCCTTATAAAATTGGTTTGGTTGTATGGATATTATTTTGTTCAAATCGAAATAATTTTCATAGTTGAGAAGTTTAAATATAGATTATAAAAGTGAAAAATATATATATAGATTTTAAATATAGATTTAAAAAAATATATATAGATTTAAATATAGATTTTAAATCCAACCCCTTAATATGCAGTATAATTGAAGGCAATAAAAATATAAGAAGAATTCTAACGCCAATAAGCATTCTAGCCATTTTACTTAATTTGTTCTCCAATAGCACTCATTATTCTTGAAATTGATTTTTTTTTTTTTAAATTTCTCCAAATATAACTAGTTAAAAAAATGATTATGCAAGATGCATGAGTTATTGCCTATCTCTTTAAAGTTGCATTGTGTGATAAAATAAAACAAAACAAAAAGCTAAAAATAAAAAATTAAAGAAATTATAAAAAAATATTTAAAGCTTGACCTTGTTAATAAATGGAATCATATATTTTTTATTATTTCATTTTAAATTGTGAACTATTTAAATGATATAAGTTTTAACAATTCCTTCGTGTTCTTTTTTATAACTAATTGTGGGAACGTATTTCGTGAGAGATAGCATGTGACCAAGGTGACGTCAGAGTGTCAGCCGAGGTGCCACGTGGTCTGGTCTTGATGCCAAGGTTATCTCAGCTAGGTCGAGGTTATTTGTGGAGATACCGAAATTCGAGATGAGCGGATAAAGGACAAGAGTCCTAGAACAGAGAAGGATCTCAGTCTAAATAAAGATAGAGCTCTTAGGGAGTTTATCCCTATTTAACTGAGAGTCCAAAATAAGCATTGAGCTTGAGTCCATTGAAGTTAGGCTTCTACAAGAATCAGGTTAGTGCTGGCTATATAAACAGGGCACCCTCGTGGATCTAAGGTACGTTTTTTGATGTGTGATATACTGTGAGCAATAAGTTCTTTCTTGTGAGTTTAAGCATTATTTGCTATCTGTAAGAGATATAGATCACTGACTTGATCGTCAGAGTGCCCCCGGGTGGACGAACCACCGCTAGACTCTTATCTTTTTGTGACAGGTTGTTCGGGCTTAATCTATTCTGCCGGTGCTCTCTAGCTGAGTTCCCTGTTTGGTTATGTAGTCGGAAATCAACACCCACAATTTCGTGCCGTCTATGGAAATGTAAAGAGAATAGATGGCTGACGACGAACAAAAAGAAAAGATCAGGGACAACATCCCTAGTAGGAGTGGTAAGCATGTCGACCCAAACATGGAGGAAGAAAACCATTCTGCCGGTGCTCTCTAGCTGAGTTCCCTGTTTGGTTATGTAGTCGGAAATCAACACCCACAATTTCGTGCCGTCTATGGAAATGTAAAGAGAATAGATGGCTGACGACGGACAAAAAGAAAAGATCAGGGACAACATCCCTAGTAGGAGTGGTAAGCATGTCGACCCAAACATGGAGGAAGAAAACCATAATGAAGGAACACGGGATCAGAATCCTAAGGAGAAAGACGTCGGCCAAGAAGGAGACGCACCAAAAAAAGTAGGCCGAGACGAGTATTACAACGAAAGTGACCTCCAGGTATGGAAAGATAGATGCCTGAAGAGAGATGGCAAGATGAAGGGAATGGCAAACAAGTTAGCAGACCTACAGTCAGTTGTCAACTTCATGATGCAGAACAATGTCATGCGGCCACCGTTTCCATTAAATGACACGCCGATTCCAGCGGCCAAGAACGACGCCTAGAGAGAGGGCAGAAAGCAATCCCAGCAGTCCCTTAGCATGAAAAAATGAAGGAACGCTCACATTAGCCTTCACAGGACACCGGGCGAACAGAATCAATGAGAGGAGAGTCTCAGAGAACACCTCGTACCAAGGGAACTTATGTCAAAGAACATCGGCACGTTCAAGGGAATGAACTTTGTTTTGATACGGTGAATGAAGAGAAATCCAAGAGGACTCATAACGACACCGGGAGTAGCGCACCAAAAAGCTGAAATCCATTGACAGCCGAGCTCTTAGCCGGACTAAGGAGGATTTGAGGGACTACCTCCAAAGGAAGCAGCAGAATGCTGAGGTCACATCCCCGATCAAGTCGAGAATGTCGTTCTCAGTAGAGCTAGATAAGTTTGAGGCCCCAAAAAGATTCCATATTCCGAGGTTCCAAATATATGATGGTAAGTCCGATCCAAACTTTCACGTTGACTTATATTTGAATTCAATGGCACTGGATACCGGGAATGAACCATTACTCTGCAAGGTGTTCCCCTCATCCTTTGGGAGAATTGCATCAGATTGGTTTCATAAGTTGCCGAAAGGAACTGTGAAAAGTTGGGAAGGCCTGGCCGAGATGTTTGTGGCCAGGTTTGTTACAAACAAATTGCAGCCGTAAAGGGTAGACTCCCTGATAGCTCTGAAAATTGGTGAGGGTGAAAGCCTTAGGGCTTATGCCAAAAGATACTATGAGGTGTTCAACCGAATACCAGGATATGACTAGAAGTTGACGGTCGTGTCTTTTAAGAACGGCCTGGAGGATGACTGCATGCTTCGAAAGTCACTAGCAAAGACTTTGCCAAAGAGTATGAAGGAGCTCATGGCAAGGATCGAGAAATATGCCAGAGCAGAAGAGGATGCACCGAGAGCAAAGGCACCGAAGCAGAAAAAAAGAAACAGCTCGCTGAAGCGAGGCCAGGGTAATACTGGATTTAATAGACAATAAACATGACCGAGGGCTACACAGGCAGTCACCACTGTGTTCCAGATCCCGGTTTATAAAGTTCTTGAAAGGATTAGGAACTAGCCATATTACAGAGCGCTGGTGAAGATCCCTGGAAAATTTATGAAGAGAAGTCTAGGGAAGCACTGTGCCTACCACAATGAAGATGGACACCTAACGCAGGGTTATAGAGCCCTAAAAGCACATTTGGAAGATCTAGTCAGACAAGGTCACTTAAGGGACCTGGAAAATGAGGCCAGAATGTGGGAAGAGCAGGTAAGACTGCCCCACGCACCGATGGCACCACCTCTACCACAATCACAGCAAGCAGAACCTCGGGTGATCAATGTGATCTACTCAAGGGTTAATGAGAATAATATGTGATGAAAGACCCAGAAGGTGAAACAATTACAACATGTGTGTTAGGTTCAGCAAAAGAGGCCTAAGACAAATGAGTACCAGGGACCAAT